TCGTGCGCCGCCGCGCTGCCCCCCGTGAGCGAGCGGAGGTGCTCGATGGGGCTTTGCACACTCGCCGGTTGCCTGGGTGAGAAAGCAGGAGAAACGATGGAGCCGGCAGAGAAAAGCAAAATCCCCAAGTTGCCCTTTTTCCCAGGGAAATAACCCCGCCCCGAGGCAAACCCCGATGGAGCCATAGGGAGAGGCGTCACGACAGGGTCCGTCCTCAGCAGAGACCAAGGGCTGACAGCGCGGCATCCCCCGGCTGCACGGCTCCAGGCTAACGCGGCCTCTGACGGCGCAAAGGTCGACGATGCCGGCGAAGACGCCAGGCGCCGGGCTGAGAACGGTTATTTCGGTGCCCGTGTGACCGAGCTTTCGCCTTGCTTAAGTGCCATCCACCTCGCGGAGGAGGACGGGAGGGCTTGAAATACATTTTCGAGCACAAACCCTGACACACACAGGGGCTTGCTGCAAAAGCAGGTCGGTTTGGGGTTTTTTTTTCCCTTTCTTCCCTTTTTTCCCCCCACCTCCTGCCTGTTCTTTCAGCTGCTCATAGTTTTTCCGGGACAAATTTAGGCCTGGGCCCCGTTCCGCTCGTGTTTGGAAAGTCTGAGCAGCTTTGGCTGCACTGCTGGGAGCAAGGAGAAAGGGCAGACGGCCCACGGCAGTTTTAAACTTTAAAAAAAAAAAATAAAATAAAGAGCCAAATGCCAAAGAAAACCCCAGATCTTGCTGAGATTTCGGAGATCGGGAAGGCAGCGGGGGATCCCTTGGGTTTGCCCCAGCCAAGGACTGTTTAAATCGAGCCGAGCTCCTCCGGGAGAAGTCTGCAACTCACCTCGTCTCGTTCCTCCGCCGCCGGAGCAGGGGCCGCCGCTTCCCCCCCCAGGAGAGCACGAACACGCGTCCGCTGCCGTCCTGCGGATGGGGGAAAAAAAAAAAAAACATCGCGCTTGAAACGAGCTCGTTAGGAGCCCGTTTGGTAAATGCAGAGCCTGGGTGTTTTTCTATAGGCGACACCTCGGCCCCCACCGCGGCGATACCGTTTCGGCTGAGCTTTGCCAGGAGGCAGCCTGGGAAGGGGTCGCACGGCTTTTGGAAGACCGTATTTTGGAGGAACGCCGTCGGTCTGCCGAGCTGCTGTGAAGGTGAAGAGGTGGCTGGGGCACGGTCCGTAATTACCTATGCAAGGAGCAGCCGGCGAATGCTGAAGGGCTTTTTAATTAGCAGCCAAAGGCGAAGCGGGATTCAACAGCAGGGAAGCTGAAGTCAGCAAAGTCAAGGTGGAAATAAGAGGCCAGCTTTTACCAGTGAGGGTAATTAAGTGCCGGCAGAGCGCGGCACGAGGCGTGAGGAATTGCCGTCATTCAAGGACCTTAAATCAAGGAGAGGAGTTTCTCCTGCAGACGCTTGCTCTCCTGCCATCCCCGCTCCGGCACCGCTCGCCACCCGGCCTCAGGCAGGAGGGAGCGGCGACGAGCTGGGTACCGGCATTCCGGAGCGGGAGCATCCCTGCTTGTTTCTAACAAGCCAGGCAGGGAATTTAGCGGGGCAAAGGGCTGTTTTCCCACCTGACCCGAAAGCAGTTTGGCCA